CCCCGGAGGCGAGAACACTAGGAGTTCCCTCCGTTCGTTTCGCGTATCTCCCGCGTGGCCTTGCGCGGTTTGAGAACGTGCCGCGTTTCGAAGGAAAGGGCCCCTTCGAAACGCGAGACCGTTAATTCACGGCGTTTCTTTTTTTTGGTTGTATTTTCTTCTAGGGCGGACTCCCTGTTTGCGAGGCCCCGTAGGATTAAGTAACACCAAATTTTCGGAATTGTATTGGGAATTCCGCGTCGCGTTTCCCTTCGGCGCGTAGTCGCCACACCCTTTTCCAATCCGGTGTGAATATACCGCGGAATTCCCCCCTCTCCCTTTTTTTGGTTTTCGGCTAAATAAAGCCTCAATCACTTTCTTGGATCAGAGTTTCCCTTATTTTCTTTGTCTTCCTGACCTCCTCTGGAGCTGGACATCGCAAATTTGTATCATTAGGGCGAAGATAAAAATTACGAAATATGTTTTGAAATAACAATGTTGTAAATATGTAGTGTATAAAATAAAAAAATTTTCATTATTTTTTCATAATTAGGAATAGAATTTGAAGTGACGTGAATTCACGTCAACGGTCGTGAATGTGTTAAAATTGGCAAACAAATGATCGAAGCGGTCAGGCATAAATGTATTATTAAAAATTATTCGAAATTTTGTAGGATCATACTACTGAAAGAGTAGTTTGCTTTCTCATGATGGGGAGAATCGAATAAAGTCCATAATTAAACGCAGTTCATCAATCTCGTGAGAAATTGATGTAATGCGAAAGTAGACGTTAAAACTAGCACTGTGATCAAAGTATGTTCTTCGCGATAAAATTGCTCGAACGAAGGGAGAACCAGCTGCGAGTTCATTATTCGTGTACAAAAGTTTGATAGCTCGAACCGACGTAGGAAGATGAATGTAAACTATAAATCTACACGCGAACGACCAAGTAATTAAGCATACTTTCGCATGATTTCCATCGTCTTCCCAGCGTTTAAAATTCTTTCGAATACACGATTTGTATTTTATTCGACAAAGTGACCGCGTTCTTGTGTTTTTCTGCAATTAAACGAGTCATATTGCGTAATAGCATTTTCAACTGATATTTCCGAAAATATTTCGGAGGATTGCTACACACGAATAAACAAAACAAACCCGTTGCGATGGATACACACGAATTCTTGGCGGAATTAAACGTCAAACGATTTATTCTGAATAAATAGTCGCGACTGTTTCTCTGTTATTAAAGTTTAGCACGTGATTCAAAAGTCATTGAATCTTTCGCGATTCTGGACCAAAAAAATATGTATTTATATAGAAAATATAATATTTATATAAAAAAACGATTGCTAATCCGTCAATAGCGTCAATTTCGTGTTTTTCATCAAATCGGGGTGCGTGATACGTTGCTGAATAGTCGCCAGCGTTCATTATCCTTTGCACTGGATTGACTATTTAATACAACTATTTTAATGGAACGTAAAGTACTAATACAATCAGTTGACAACATTTCTATTAATACTAAACATTAATTCAAAAATTTAATAAATAGAAGTATGTAAAAATTATTTGTACACTTGGAAATCAAGTTATTCGAATTATTACGAAATAAAATAATTTGAAGCATTAACGTTTGAACCATTTTTTGTTGGTCCTTTTCAAAAATATTGTAAAAAGTTATTAGAAAGTGCAATGTAATATAATATACATAGAACATATAATGATAAATAATAACATATAATATATAATATATAATATACATATAATAACATATAATATAATATACATAGAAGTATATAATGATAAATATCTTTAAACATGTAAGTAATTGTTTGTGGCAGAACAAAAATAAAAATTACCTATAGTTGAATAATATATTTGTATAATAAAGTATAGCAAATGTCCATTAAACAATTGTGATTAATGATAATATTAAAATCTTGCAGACATTTTTATGTACATACAGGGTGTCCCAAAAGTCGGGGAGGAGTCGGAAATGGGGGGTAGCTGAGACGATTCTGAACAACAATTTCCTTTGCAAAAATGTCGGATGGGGCTTCGTTAAGGAGATATTAAGAGAAAACCCCGACCAATCAGAGCGCGCGTAGACCGTTGGAGCGGCCGCGGTAGCGAAGGCTATGCGCTGGCGTCCGCGCTTGTACGCGAACAAGTGACTCGACGTGCATCGAAGGACATTGACGCTGCCGCCTAGCGCGTAGCCTTCGCTACCGCGGCCGTTTCAACGGTCTACGCGCGCTCTGATTGGTCGGGGTTTTCTCTTAGTATCTCCTTAACGAAGCCCCATCCGACATTTTTGCAAAGGAAATTGTTGTTCAGAATCGTCTCAGCTACCCCCCATTTCCGGCTCCTCCACGACTTTTGGGACACCCTGTATATGTCTTAATGTTACGCCACATTTTTTCCTAGAGCAATTTTGTACTACTTCTAAAATAAAGACAAAATAACGTGGCCGAAACAAAAACTTCGATGCTTGAAATGATTTTACTATTTATTGATTTATTAATAGCAGACGAGGATCAAATTTTTAATTAGATTAGTCGATGCCGAAACTTGACCACATATACAACGCAAAATATCTACTTCGGTTATTGCTAATTGCCTAACGCAAAATAAGAAAGAAATTCTTCACCAGATGGCGAATCGAGACAATTTTTAAAAATCAACTAGGATCCAAAAGGGCTCTTAAAACGTTAAAGAAATCTCTGGTACTCCGTTCCAAACTTTCAGCAAATTCCAGAGAGCGAACTTATTTGAATTCTCTTTCAAGCTTCCAACTCGTTCGCCAAGTTACTCGATCAAGAAAACGAACAGTCAACAAAACCACCGCAGTGCGCGTTAAAAAAAAAATTAGCTACCCCCATTAAAGTTTCTTTGATTGATCTAATTATCAGTACAATCGATTCGAAAAACCAGCTAGTTCCGAAACCATCGAAACTCTAACGACACTGAGTAAGCAAGAACGCTCGAGCTCTGTGTTGAAGTTCAACAGTGGCTCGATCAAAAACTCCTCCAAACTTTTCGCTGTAAGTTTCCGCAATGCGGACAAAAAACGAATTCCGCGAGAGAGGGACCAATCTAATTAATATCAATTCTTTAAATGAAATGCTGTAGCTCTTTACGTCATAACTTACGAAAATATTATATTCCTAGGAAAAAAGAAGCGAATACAATATATTCTGCTACATCATCGGCACAATTCAGATCCGTAAAAAACTAAAGAAAAAGCACATCATTCAAAATAATGTAGAGAATCATTACGTTTCCAGACTATTGCGAACAATAAACTAAAATAACTGAATTCGAAGAAATACTTCATATTTAATGTCCAATTAATCTAAATTGGTTATCGTATATCATAATTGATATACAATTACAAAATTAATCAACTGTAATATATATAATTATTTAATAATAATTATATGTCAATTACAAACCGATATCCCCTTAATTATGACAGTAGGAGCAATAACGAAACATTTCAGTTTTAAAATAGAATTTCATCGTTTCATTCAAAATGGTCATCTATACGTTGAATAAAAATTAGAATTTCATTTGTACAATTAAATATTTCACAAAGAACAAGAAAATTTTAAACTATTCACTCGAAAGAATGTTACGAATCAATTGCAGTATTATGAGATTTTATTCACACGTATTATTCGAATTAAATATTGCTCACCTCTGGAATCGACGAGAAACACATATGTAACGTATTCCCGTGAATATTTTGAACTATCACAAGTGCTCTTCCGCATGATTTGGGCATAATGGCTTTTCAATTTTGGTTTCGTTATATATTCGCGGTTTCACGTTTCTACATAGCGTTCGCTCATACGCAGAAAATATTATATTTATTGTGCGACGAATTTTCATAAATTATTGAAGACTGCCTCGGAAACAAGATCATACAAAACCCACGTCCAAATGACTTTTATTCGTTACTCTATTGCTTCCTTTTATGTTATTTGTAATGCTAGTTTAACATATGGGTTTAATATATTTATAATATACCTCCGCATTAAATGTATAATAGTATATTCATCTTTATTTCTATAAATTAAGTTTCTTTGTTTTTTCATTCAATATTGAATTTTTTTAGTGTATATGATTTTGGTACAATGAAGATACATTGTCATTATTATTATTACAATTATTTACACCTTTATTTTATTCTCTGAAATTTCAATACAGGGAAGAAACTAATAATATAAAATTTATATTACGATAAAGTAGTTGATCTTTTCCATACTAAATATTGTTCATACTTTTGTTTTATTATATTTAATATATTATAGAATTTATAATTTATATCACACGTATTCGTAATATCTGAATGCTGCTATACCTGAAGGTAAAGTATGTATTTCAAATATTTGTAATCCTTTCTACAATAAGAATTAAATTTATATTTCATTTATTATCAGTCGAAAACGTTCCGACATGTATCTCTCAGTGTTTACCAAGACTATTTTATTAAAATCACGTTGTGAAATTTTCGAAAAAAAAAACAATGAACAAAGAATTATTTTATTACCATTGTTATTACGTATTTCGAATTTCGATGCATTGAAATCATCTCAAGTCCATTACTAATGAAACGCCTGCATGTCATGTAGAGTTTTTTTATTTTAAATATTCTATGCAGATAGTATATACATATAATATCTCAGTCGAATAAGTAATCTAATTATACCGAGTAGCGTATTTATTCACGAAATAAACTGATCAGCATTGAAGTAACTTTGGCGGAACGAATAATAACACAAATATTTCTCCTTTGTTCCGAGTTAAAAGGATACAGCTGGAAACTTTTTAACAATCACGAATTCCCTCTTATTCGTTCCTTCGTTCGTGAGAAATATTTCCAACTCTTTGCCTAAAAGTTCCTTCAATGTGGATCGAAGTTCGGGGTAGAAACCCCTGACATAACGGATGAAGTGAATTCATCCGATGGAACTAAACGATACTATGTATTAATAAACGAACTGGGGAAAACTTACGGGCATAGTTGTTGCAGTTCCACCTTTTTAGTCGCGAAACTCAAATCGTTGTTGCTGATTCTCTCGAGGGCTCTACCGCACTCTACCATTCGTTCGTGTGTGCAGTCCTGGCTCCGACAACTGCTTATCACTAAAAGAAACACAATATTGATACATTAGAAGGATACCAACAAATCGATTCAACCAAAAAAAAAGTTTCTTTTTATTAGATACAGAATTTAATTCTCCGTCTTTCTAAGGGTAAATAGACGATTTATTTTTACAGAAAACCCCTACAACTTTTGATCTTCTCTGAATCACACATTCCAAAAGAGCAAATATAATTGTAAATATAACTGTAAACGCAAAATGATGAGTGAATATTTTAAATTGACCTACAATTCTAAACGATTGAATGTAAAAGCACAGCATTAATTTCTACACTAATATACAAGTGATTTTCGTATAGAATTCGTAAAATTTGAGAAAATTTGAAAAGAATAAAATAACCCCTACATATTATATTTAGGATTCCCTCAAGAATCCCTTGCAACAATATTTAATTATTTTAGATCAGGTGACAACGAGTTTAATATACGCTGACTTTTCATTTTAATTTAAATGATGTAAATCAAGAAACTCTCCATAATTATTTTCTTCTAGCCTAATATTCGTTTTCCTGATAAAATATTAAACCAATAAAGAACGACAAAAAGAAACTAAACTGTAAATTAATTAAACTAAACGTAACAGAAATGCTTTGTACGTGAATTAAATTAAATAAACATAAGAAGAATGTATTTATAAATCTCTAATCATAACACATAATCATAGTACATAATCTGCAAGTGCGGCGATATAATATGCAAAATTTAACTGTACTTCATTTTTAAATATAATAATATGTTTATATAAATCAAAATTAACATGAAATTAAAATTGTAAGGATATACATTTAAAGACTTTAAGCTTCGTCTACAGTGCAGTTGCATTCTACAAGTGTATCGTTGCATTTTACTGAAAAACGTCATAGGAATTTAAAAACTGAACAATTTGAACCCTTCGTGTTCCACTTTCTTTTCTAATTAACCATAAGAGAAATATGACCCGATTGTATTGCGTGCCACTCTCTGTGTAATCCTGCTTTATTTGCGAATATCATAGAACGAGTCCCTGCTTTAGATACCGTCTTGTTTATCATTCATGAGACCAGCACAGCGACAAATGAAAAATCGTGACACATTTATTCGCCATATTAACCTTTACTTAACCCCCTCGTGGCTGGAGGCGACTACATAATCGCCGGCTGTAAGACGATAACTGCACCGAGAACGATTATAGTCGCATGAGAAAATTATTCCACTAAACACATTCCTTAATTTATCTTATCCTGCAGAAAACAAACCTTGTAAGTAAGCCGATGTGTTATTTATATTGGAAATGCATTACTACTTCCGAATGATAGTAATTATACTGTTTTCAATTATATTGGCATCGCATAACATATTCCTGACGTGTCCTTTTCACCAAATGACCAATTTTTTGTTAACATTAATGTTTCACGTTAAATATATTTTTGTTTCCTCTCTGTTAATACACAAAATATTTATTAAATTATTATAATTGATATTTTAAAGATTTGTTAACTATTATATACTTTTAGAGTTGGACATAAACAAATTACATGATAATCCAAAACTTTAATGACTTTTTTAAATACTTAATGCTTGATATTATGAAGTATATAACTGAAATTTTCTTACTTATTTTATTTTTAGAATGTTAAACAGAGCCAAATGAAATCAAAGTTAAAATACATAAATAAATAATGCACAGTAAGTTCAAGGACACGTTGCGAAATTGACGTTTCATAAGTTTCAAACTACTACAAACTAATTTTAAATTAACTATATTCATTGGACATTTTCAATTCATATTTGCAATTAATTTTTGTCCGTCCGTGTCTCGTTTCTTCGCGTAACTTATAATTAACAGAATATCGAAGAACTTAAAAGACAAAAACGATTCCCTTGCAACGCGGTAAATTTTGTTTTACAATATTTTTATATTTATGATGAGATGTATTTAAAAAGTTCAGTAATTATGCTACGTCAAGTAATTGTGCACGATTCGTTCGTTAAAAAGAGTTTTTAATTTCACGAGTGTATGCAATTCGTTGCTCGCACAACTACTTGGGTTGTAACATTTTAATTATTAATTTTTCGAGTTAACTAACACGCTTCGAAAATATTTTCTCTTGCAACAAACTTCCAATTAATGCACGCGTCACTGTTGTTTTATTAACATCAATTAATTGGAGAAATAAACACAAAATAATTCACGTCAAGCTCGTGTATGTTTTAATATTATTAGAAACTATTTGTCATGTCAGCTAACGATAATTACTGTTGGTTATAGAGAATCTTCTGCATAGGATAAAATGTTCAGCTTCTAAAAGTTTATAAATAAACTACCCCTGAACTACTCAAGAGCCTAAAGGATCTACATTTTCTTTGTCCTTTGTTTGATCTCTTATCTTGAACGAGATAAAGTACTATTATATAGTTAATTATTTATAAGTAATACTGATAGCAAATAATATTCATTATTTGGTACTTAATATTGACCGGTCAATTTGAACGAGTGAAATTGTTCGCAATATGAATGAAATTGGAGAAATGAAATTCGCTTGAGACATGATCGAATGAACAGTAAATCTCAATGATAAATAGTAGATGGAAAACCGAGACGAAAGAATCAAAAGGAGGATAAAGAAAAATGGAAAGGCGTAGAAGACGCTGCGTAAACAACCTTTAAATGGTTTCGATTTGATCTCGAGAGTGGCATTTCCGGTTAATCTTTTCTGTCATCGTTTCCTTCGGAAGATATCATTATTCCTCGAGAGGCGAGGCTACAACAGAAAAGTCGATCTTGACCTCGCTCAAACTCTCATCGCAAGTCAATCGCATTGCCTTCAATCGAACCAGTTACGTGCCGAGTTTGTCAACAACAAAAGATTAATTTTTCTTTCTCAACAACCCATCCTGTCAACGATTAAATCAAGAGTGCTGCAAATAGAATTAACTAGATCGTTGCACTGATACGAAACAGAATAAACTTAAGTTGTTTATCAATATTTCTAATGCGTCAAGTATCTACTTAATGGTTACTCAATATATCTTACCAAAGTTAAGCATTATTTTGTGAGAAAATATGGAAATATTCAGTAAATAAAGATTAAATAAAATCTATTGAATATAAAGAAACCTCAGAATTCATCAACAACAAAATTAATGTCGTTATTGAATTAATTAATTAAAAGTGTAATGCTTTGTCATTCAAAAATTTTTCGCAAACCTTTGCATTTGGAAATGCAGAGTATACAGATTCTATTAAATTGAAAAATTGTTAAAAAATAATAGAAAATCATACAAAAATAATTAATATTTGTACTATGTTTTAGGTTCTAAATGTTGAGTGTACATACATACGAATAAATTATACTTTGTTCACATCTTGTATGCTCTCATCACTAACGAATTATACTTGTAGAAACATATACATATATTGGAAGAGTAAAATAATAACAAATTTGATATTCATAATAAGTATTTAAGATACTTAAAAATTTTTTGATAAGACGCAAATGGTTTGATACATACATATAAAATTGTTATAGTTTAAATGAGAGTACACGTAATCACAAGTAAACGAAGAAGATGATATCGTTTGTCTATCACGGTTACTGTGTTATTAAAAAATCATTTATGGAAAACAAAAGGAAACACTCAAGTATCATAAAATTTCTCGGATGACGTATTTTTGCCGGATATTTCTTTAAACAGAAGAAACATCATTTCGGGTGAATGCGATGATGAATCTGATATCTGTCTATCAATTATTCTGCTAATCACGAGCAATTTGTATCGAGATGAATCGACATATCTCATAAAATGTGCACTCTGTCGTTGAACCGAGAATGAGTACCCTCGGGACGCGGATAAATCCATTTCAGACTGGACGCCGAGTCGTCGAGTAACGGCATTGGTAGGGATGCACTACTACGCGTCCGACTAATGCTGGCTTGATCCACTTGAGCCTCAGCTAGTCTTTTTGCAAGGATTAAGTCGGATTACGCATGGCCAACGTGGCCGTCACTGTAACCAGAATTTAGCTAACGCTAGGCAGACCGCTCCTCCACACCTATACGAATGCTTACATGTGTGTAGAACACTCGTGAAATCGACGATCTCGTAATGAATCTGATGAGGGATGCATTGCCTTTTATCATCGTGTGCGATACTGTTCGAAACAGATATCATACCGCGGGACAGATCTGGTTACTTTTGAAATGATATTACTTGAAGTATTATGTAAAATAACATATTATTTTATTTATAATTATTTGAAATAATTGTTTAAAGTAATTGTAAAATTATTTTTCAAAGTTGTATCTGGTGAAATCACAAGTACATGGCGATTTCAAATTTGAAAGGGATGAAGATGAAGTAACAAATGATTTCATATTTGTTTTTCAAAATCAATAAGAAATATTTTCCAAACTTATTTCCATTTTACGATCATAGTAAATAGACTCAGACAAAAATCACTTAAATAATACCTAATATTATTTTAAAGATTATTCTTTCGTTTTTGAAATAACAAAAAATGACCAAATAATTAATTATTTGAAATAGCTATTATTTCAAATTAATTGGTATTATTTTTATATTCAAATGACTGTATTGAAACTAGTGGTTTGAAATAAATTATATCAAATAATTACTTTTTATTTTCATTCCGATTAAAGTTTGCTCAGGTTTGGTGCGAGGATGGCGAACGTCATTGTAATCGAATGCTAAAAATTAATTTTAATTAATAGACAAAATTTGCATTGCATATCACGTAAAAGGTGATATTTATCAAGTATCATTGAATTTGCAAGAATATGGCGTATTATCGTACCGTCTTCTTTTCTACTACTATTTATATATTACTTTCCACCCTTTAAAATATTCATTTATGTCACATGTAATTTAAATCAATAGCTAATACAAATTAATTATAATTATTTTTCTATAATTAGGACCAATCTTATGCATGTCTTCGCCAGATTATAGTTGACTACGAGCTAGCAAAATATTGCGATTA